GTGTGTGTGTGTGTACACACACACACACACACACACACACACACACACACACACACACACACACACACACACACACACATCTTCATCTTAAACATAGCATACATCTTGTTTCTCAATGGAGACAGTGGCATTGCCTCAGACACTCACCTGGCAATGATTGCTGCATCTGAAACCATTGCAAATGCCATTATATAACAAGGTCTTGAGTCTTGCTCTTATGTTTTGGGTCATGTATGATCAGGACTGTCTCTTAATGAATTCTTATAAGTAAGGGGGTTAAAAAAGAGAGAAAATGTATATGGTGCTGATGCAACATTTAAAGAGGACCACTTCTGCTTAATAGTTTCCTACAGATAGAAAAATGTGCTGGTATTTAATTAGGGTGAAGGAAACACAGCTTTATTACATAGTTTGTCAATACAGAAGCTGAAATCTAGATGTAGAGAAATAACTATGCAAGATCATACCAGTGGATCATCTAGTCCAACATCTTCTCTTAGGAGTTAGGGCAAACAGATTATTTGCTACACTAAATAGCGTAGGGAATACCGTGCATCAGCTGCTCTGCGGTATCTGGGTATGTTCATGCTCTTACTCTGTGGGAAACCTCAACTTCAGTATGTTGGTTCTCAGGTTCCATTTACTGCAGAGTGAGAGTATGCATGAAAGTAGTTGCTGCAGAGCAACTGACACAGTAATTCCATGTCCCTTTTAACTTGTGATAAATAGTTCATTTGGTCATACTCTGAGATTGTAGCCAGCATTGGATGCTTCAGGGAAAAATACCAAACTGTAGTAAGTATTGTGTGTCCTAAGGAGAAATGTCTTTCTAACTTTAATTACAGGTTCAGTTTTGTTTTGAAACATGAAGGTTTAAACTGGTGTTATTGTTATTAATTTTAGATGTTCCTATAATGTGCTAGATATGTTGGTCCTCCCTTCAGCTTTATAGAGTCTGCCAGGCCAATGGTAGGAAGAAGCATGCAGGTAAGGTAGGCAAAATATGGAGCTCTTAAGCTGTTTTCAGTTGCCCCTTAAACTTTCCATTTCTAGCTTTCCATTGTAAAGGGAAATCCTGCTTCTCCAACCTGCTGGAGTTCTTTGAGGGTGCTAGCAAGGGCATGGACAAAGGGGATCCAGTTGACACAATACATTTGGACTTTCAAAAAGCTTTCAGCAAGGTCCCTTGCTAAAAGCTTCTTTTTTTTTTTAAACTCAGTTACAATGGCATTGGAGGAAAGGTGGTCTCATGGGCTGAAAGCTGGTTAAAAGATGGTCACTTTTCAGAATGGAGGGAGGTCTAAAGTGGGATCTACATTAGGCCCAATTTTGTTCAACGTTTTCATTAATGATCTGGAAGTGGGGGTGCACAGTGAAATCTCCAGGTTTGCAGATGATACCAAATTATTCCAGGTAGTCAAATCCCAAACTGACAGAGAGGAGCTGCAGAAAAATCTTACCACACTGAGTGGGTAAAAATATGGCAGACGAACTTCAGTGTCAACATATGCAAGGTAATGCACATGGAGAAAAATAAGCTTAATTATGTGTACACAGTGCTGGATTCTGAATTAGCTGATATGACTCAGGGAAGAGACCTTAGAGTTATTGTAGATAGTTCTCTAAAAACATCAGCTCAATGTGCAGCAGCAACCAGAAAAAGCCAATAAAATGTTGAGCATCGTTAAGGGAATTGAAAACAAAACCAAGAATATCATCATGCATTATACAAATCCATGGTGCCACCCACATCATGAATACTGTCTGGTCTCTGCATTTCAAAAAGGATGTAGTAAAATTGGAAAAGGTACAAAGAAGACAACCAAAATGATGAGAGGTATGAAGCGCAGTTGCCATACAAGAAGAAGCTAAAAAGGCTAGGACTTTTTAGTTTGGAAAGGAGAAGGCTGAACAGGGATATGATAGAGGTCTATAAAATCATGAAGGGTGTGGACAAAATGAACAGAAAACTGTTACTCACAAAGTCCCAGAATATTAGAACTAGGGGGCTCCCACTGAAATTAGTAAGAGACAGGTTTAAAACTAACAAGAGTAAGTACTTTTTTACACAATACATAGTTAACTTGTGGTATTGATTGTCACAGGAGGTGGTAGAGGCAGATAGGATAGCCAGGTCCAAAAAGGGACTAGACAAATTCCTGGGTGATAGATCCGTTAATAACAGTTAAACAGAATGGTTGGAGATGTTTCCTCTGTCGTCTCTGAGCCAGTAATGGTGGATGCCAGGGATAGTAATGAATAGAGGATGGATCACTCCAGATGTATCTGGTTCAGTGTTCTCCCTCTGAAGCACACAATTCCTGCTAGTGTCAGAGATAGGATGCTGGGCTAGATAGACCACTGGTCTGACCAAGTATAACGCTTTTTGTGTTCTTAGTTATTATTTATACCTTGTATGCTTTTACATGCTTCGTAGCAATGAGTCTTATGAACTAATGCATACATTGTCGCAGTATTTCCTTTCAGATTTTCTGCCTTTTGATTTCCTCCCCCTTTATTCTTTTATGATAAAAAAATAAACAAACAAGCACCAAATCTGCTTTTCAGCACCATTCATCATCTCTATGTCCCCTTTTGATCTCTTTTCTACCCTGAAGTTTTAAATTTCTCCTAAAATTTAAATCTCTTTGTGACTTTAATTTTTCTTATTATCCACCTTTGTACTGCTTATATTTCTGCAGTATCTTTTTGAGATAGTGACAAAAACTAAAAGCGGTATTGTTGATGAGAATTCATCTACCCATATGATTCATTAAAATAGTTTCAATTAATCTATTCTATATACATCTTAACATTTTGTTTGCTTATTAACTGCAACTGAGCAGATTTGTCCATTGCTCATGGTGGTGCCAGACTCTAAGAAGTTATGGTTAAGTTAGGACCTAGCCACAACAATTAACAGCTCAGTTTATTCCTTCCTATTTGCATTATCTTGTATTCATCAAAACAGAATATCATGTACCATCATGAGGGCCCATTCACCTAGTTTAGTTGGGCCCTTCAAGAAGTTCCTTGATCTATTTTAGTTTTGACTAGCATAAATATTTTTCTTCCAGTGTTTCTGTCTCATTGTTCACACTTTTTTTCAATCTATAGTAAATATTTGATCGCTACAATTATTGTACAGGTGATGAGGCACACTACTGTTACTCTTTTGCCCTGTAGAAATGTGAATATTTATTCTTACGTTTAATGTTCTGATTTGACTCCCGTTTGATTCTTAGGGGACATTTATCTCCTCCTATAACTACTTAGTTTCCTTAATAGCATACCAGGCTACTCTCTCTGTCTTTGAAAATCTAACCTATTGATATTTCCACTGATGAAATTCAAGGCATAGAAACAATACCTTTAAGCATTCTGGTCTCTAGATAAAAATTTCTGTGTACTGAGGTGCTAGGTCTTCTTTTTGCATCACTGCTGCTTTTTAAGGCACAGCAAGATAAGCAGTGTTGAAGGTTTTGTTCTGCCTTCTGGCTAGTGCTCCATGGAAGATGGCACTCTGTATATAACATAGGTATTAGCAGTGTTTGCCTATAAATTCACTGACCTGGTGAAACCCGTTGGGTTTGGGCTCCTTCTCAGGTTTTATGTTCTGTTGACTGATTTAAATTCAGTAACTAATGAGGGAAGCGTCATCTTAAATATTTCCTGAAGCTTTTTTTTCCTCTTACTCTTCCTTTATAGTGATCTTGGGTAGCTGGTTTAAAAGACAAGGACAATGTCTCTTCCGTTCAGATCACTGTAGGACTATTAAAGCGTCTTTCTTCTTTATGAATTGAACTACTTGCAGTGGGAAATCATGTGCTCAGCCAAACAGAAGGAACTACGTTATACATCTTACCCAAAGAACCATAGTGTAGAACCAGACTGCTGGCTAGCCCTTCTCTAGCAGAGGTGCATATACACACTGTATGACTGCACACTTGCACAACTACACAAACTCTTTCTTTCCTAAGCATATACATTAAAATACATGTGTTTTCACCAGTACATGCTCCATATTAGCAGAAGCATGTACCTTGTCTTCCTAAAATGCATGTATGCATGCAGTTGCCAGCTGTGGCAGCATACAGTGCCCTACAATCATGAGCTGAACCTGTGCGCTCTCTTCTCATGCTCACCTCCCAAGAAGTCAATCCTTATACCTCTTCTGCAGCTTCCCTGATAAACTATATTGCTTCCTTCTGACATGTTTTTCAGCATGGAAGCAAATAAGAATAGTTCTTTCCTTCTCAGCAACAAAAGAAAACAAGTTGGTGTCAAGTCCTGGTATAAACTGAATTAGGTGAAGAGTCTCTGTACAGAGCTCTTGCCTTTTCCTCCTGGAAATCCATGCCTGCCTGCCTGCTGGGAATTATTATTCTGTCCCCATACTCAAAAAGTGTGTGTGTGTGAAAATATGTTTACATGTATGTGGCTGCATGATTTTTTGTTATTTCTGTCTCTGTCTCCTTCCCTCCCTCTCTCTCTCTCTCTCCTTCTCTTGTGTCTGTCTGTTTGTCATATATTGCTTTGATTTTGTGGTGTTAGGGTGGGTATATGACTCAATAACTCTCTTCACCACTTCCTTGTTGTAGACTATTGGGGAGAGTCTTATTACAGTGACCTCATCGACTTGCACCTGGGTGGTATGTATAGCGGAACCTCTGCTGACACTAACCCTGCTGACACTCCTTCCCACCCTTCCCTTCACCTACTTCTCCCATCCTTGGCTTACAAACAACAAGAAGAAACAAGTCTTGCACATAACTGATTGGCTACAGCAGAACCCCTTTTCCAGCTCAAGGAGAGGAGATCTTGTCCCACACCACAAACTATTCATAAGAGATTTTGTTTCACAGCCAGATAGTCTGTCCCTCTTCTCTTCTGATTTACAGAGCTTAATTCTGTTTCTAAATTTCTAAATTTGAATATCTAGCCCTTGAATGTCAGCCACCTGTCTTGTTAGTAAGAAGCCAATTCTGTAATCTGGTAATCCTTCCCAAAGACAGCCTCTCCCTCCAGGTTTTATCAGGGTAAAGAATTTATTATGAAGTGAGCCAAAGGATACAAGGACACAGAACAAGCATGTGCAAAATGCAGGAGCTGCTCACACTCTGGGGAAATAAATCAGAGGCAGTGCTCTCCTACTTCTCCTTGGCTCCTCTTGTTTCTTCCAAAGGAATCCAGAATGTTTTGATGTCTTGACAAGAACAAAAGGTTCCTATTAGGAACCTCAGAAATGTTGGTGAGTGAGGGATATTACTTCTCTCATTTTTCCTTTACTGGAGGGTAGGAGGGAGTCTGCTCTCAGAATCCAGATCTCTCTTTCCCTAAGACCTGCTTTGCAACATTGGAATGTTAATCTGGAAGCTTCTTATATTAATTCTTTATCACACTTACCATGCCAAAAACTACATTAAATTGAGTTGCTGTTTGTATTGGATGTTGGGATTAAAATCATCCCTCTGACATTCCAGTTCTCCTCTCTTTGATGAATGCTGCTGCTTGGATCCCTTCATATGTGTTTTTAGTATAAGATTGTAAATTCCATTTTTCTATAGTTTGCCCACCTCGAAAATTAAAATCCTTTCCTTTGCTGTTTTAGTTTCCTCTCCCCCTTCCTGTGGCAATTTCCTATTTTGGTTGCCAAATCTACTTTAGTAGAGTTGGTGAGCAACCAGCATTCCCCACGTGGACCCATCAGAAAGCCAACTGCTCACTTGATTTGTCTTCTCCAGCTCTCATTCCATTTGTTTTTAGAACGTTAAGTTATTAAAACCAAAGTGTATTTATGAGTAGGGAAAACATTTGTGTCTATATCTCCAGTATGGAAAGGATAGATGGGGCTACCCAAGTAAATATCCTCTAGGACTAATTCACAGCCCACTGCAGACAGTGGGAGCCTTTCCATTGATTGTAATCGCTGCAAGTTCAATTTGCTTGTGTGCCTTTTTTTGTTACTGTCATTTTTCTCCATAAACTTCTTCCCAAGATGTCCCCCCAGCCTTAGCTTCCCTATCCCATAATGTGACTGGCTAGCCACTGAGAATAATTCCAGTCTACCATCATACACCATGCCTTTGGGGAAAAAAATCATCATCCATATTCAAGTATCAATGCATAAGGTTTCCCCCCACCCTCCCTTTTCTTACCCTAGGTTGTTATCCAAATCCTTTGAGTTGATTTTCATGCAGCTCTCTCTCCATGGAGCCCTATATTTCATTTATTACATCAGTCTCTGTCTTCCTTTTCTGAAATATCATATACTGAGAGATTTTGAAGAGCCCCCAGATCTATCAGTTCTGTCCCTGCACCATCCTGTGTGGTCAGTAGGAGCTGTAAAAGGGTTGATGCTGAGTACACTTAACAGATCCTTACTCCTGTCTAATGCTGTCTCCACAGTACCTCCTATCCTTCTCTTCCTCCTAATGCCTCTGTCTCTACATAGAGACAACAGTCCCATCAAGATCACTAATGATGGCTAAAAACATTAAAAGCAATGCGGTTATTAATCATTTAAAGGGACACTGTCATTTAAAAAATTAATTTTTGTGCTACAAAATTTCAAATTATTAAAATAAAAACCCAATTTACTTTTCACAGTTTCTGCTTGTTTGGTTTTTGTATTTCTCTCAGCTTGGTCAGTCATACTAAACCAGGGGTTAGCAATGTTTTTGGTTAGAGTGTCAGAAACAGCCACAACCTCAACTTGGAAGAAGTTGATGTGCCAGGATTGGATGGCAGCGAACATGCAAGGGGCCCGATCCTTGTGCCAGTGCAGCCCCACCTGCACCTCCTTCCCCGTTGTCTGACCCGAAGCATGCGCGCACCTGCCATCAGCATTGAGCCAGGCCAGGGCTCCACAGACTTTGGTACAGCTGCTTGCATCCTCCCAGCTGCTTGCCACAACAAACCTGGGCTTTGGGCAGACTCCTGCTGCTGGCCATGGGGCAGGGAAGCAGGCTGCTGGCCAGCAGGCAGCAGGGAAGCTGCAAGTAGCTGAACAGAGCTCTGGCCCAGCTTGTTGCTGGCAGTGGGAGAACACATACCTTGGAATAGACGGCAGGGAAGGAACCAGGGCTGTGCTGTCACAACAAGGATCAGGCCCCTTGCAGGTTCCCTGCTGTCCACACCAAGGCACGTATGTCAACCAAAATGTCTTCACATGCCACACTGGCGCACGGGCTAGGGGTTGCCAACCCCTGAACTATACTGTTTCTTTTTATTTTCTATTTATAGTCAGTTTTACTCTGTGTGCTACAAGTCTGCTTTGTTTGAGTTTTTAATACTCCATGGGAATGTTCTTGGTTAATAAATCATGACATTCATATTACATCTTGAAATATTTTTCCTTGACAATTAAAAGTAGGCCGAAATGCAGTACCAGGCAGTATCCCTTTAAATGCAGTGAATCAGTACAACCTGCTGGGCTATATGGATTTATAGTTTAGTTTTTGTTACCTTTGTAATTTGTTTTACGCTTGTTTTGGGGGCTGCCAGAACACTTAATGCCAGAAAGAGATGTGTAGTTTTGAAGCTTATGGAAGAAACTCATCTTCTCTATTGTTCCAGTTTAACAGTGAATTTAAGCCTCAGTCCAGGTGAGGGTGGGCCACTGTATCTCTATTAAGGGACACTGAAGTCACATGAGCACCACATAGATGTAGCAGTCTGCCATTCTGATTGTCAGTTCTTAGAATGGGGCTCTCTTGTCCTGCAGAAAATTATTAATAGCTAGGGCTCCTACCTGGATTAATGATAACTTTGTAGGAAATCTGCCTCTGACACCTAAACCCAGCTCAGAGGAACAGGTGAGACCACTGAAGCCGTCCCCAGGTAGAAAATGAAAATTGCTAACAAAAAAACCTAATAAATTGAATTTTAAATGTTAAACCTCTTACTATAATTAAGACACTTTACTGATTTAACTTTAGTGACACTGGCTGCATCTACATGACACTGACTGCACATTAGCCCGTGACTATTGCCCAGAGCCGTTCCTCGACACGACTGTGCAGTAACTCTGGTAATGACTGCGCAGTCAGCGTCTCGTATAGACGTGGTCACTGAGTTACTTTTCAGTAAGACATAATGAATCATGTAGCAACTTTCATTGCTAACCCTGGGTTCCTGTTTGAATTCCAGTTTGTTTCATTCCATTCTGTTACCCTAGATGGTCACTGTCACTTTATTTAGATACTGCATTCTTCACGTCCTGTTCTAAAATGTCATGTATTGTTGCTGTTAAACAGATGGTGCATTTCAGTGGTAGGCAGCTGTTCCTATATATATATATACTGTATTAAGCAGAAAGCTGTACTAAAATAATGTTTTAAAGATGTCGAAGTGAGGCACTAGAAGATAGAAAATATCAAAGTTATAGCAGCTTGTTCAACCTTAATTCAGCCTCTTGTGTATACATAGTTTCAAATTTTAACTGTCAGATCACGGGACCCCAGCCTCATTCCATGCAAAACATGAACAACATTCACTTTACGAGTAGCTATTCAATCATTTGTTTTCTCATCATTCCATATGTGGACCCACATAGTGAAAATTACTGAAGCTTTTCTTTGAAGAATTGCTAAGTTTTTATTTTCCTATGGTATCTGTATGAATTTACAACTCTGTGAAGTGAAGGGGTGGTAATAATCCATTTTGCAGAGGGGAAATAAAGCACAGCACAACTAAAGTTTTCAAAGGATCTTTCAATTTTGGGTGCACAATTTGAGATTTCTAGCAACTGATGGTTTCAGAGAATGTTGGGTTATATGGCACTCTCCTTGTTCAAAGGACAGCTCTGATTGACTTCAGTTATCTGAAAGTGTTCAGCCCTTGTGCAGATCAGACCTCAGGCATGCAAAAACTGAGCATCATCCTGTGAAAAGTTTTAGTTATTTTTCTTAGCATCACACAGGAACTCTGCGTCAGAGGTTGGTATCACATTCAGTTCTCCAGGTCAGCCTTCATCTCTTCTGGCTGTGAATACAAACTGTTCCAGGAACTACTAACATACTTTCTTTTTCTCCAGTTCCCTGGCTCATTCACTACACAACTTCCAACTTCTGCAGCCGTGAAGTAGACCTTAGTCATTCCAGAGCAGCTCCATCCTGTGCATTGAATTAATGAGGGGTTTTGTAAGCCCTGATACAGTCTGCATTTATGTCTTTGTCATAATGCATATACACAAATCAGCCAGATTAAAGTTGCACAGACAACCTTAATTTTGGCATGTCCCAATTTTTTCAGTTTTTTACTTTACAGTTTTAATGTTCATTTAACATCATTTTTGTTTGTCATTTATTTGGGGGGGAGGTTAAAGAAAATTGAAAAAAAACCCCAGAAAGTCTTCACACCACATCATCTTGATCCCTACACAGGTGATTAACAGAGCTACAGGTCCACTATACAGACTTCTACCACTCGAGCTAATGGTATAATTTCAAGCAATCCCAGGTTGTCATCTTGGATGTAGATCAGTGCTAGAGATAGATGGGATATTTGGTCAATGTTTTTCAGAGGTATTTGCAGACAGCCCAGCAGTAGTGAGACTGGAATCTTGACGTGGGAGGGAAGTGTCTTCAGTAGCCACAGGCTTTTGCGTCCATTCACTCCAAAATTGGTTTTTCACCAGTCCCACAGGACA